CAAGCATTCAGGGTTTCGTCTGCTTCCAGCCTGGCCCTCCTGTTGCCTGGCTCCAGAGTTTTGTTGGGGTGTGTATATGTGGGGGTGCTTTATGCTTGTCCCGCCCAATGGTGTGCCTTTATTCCAGTGAGAGAGAGTTCAGCCGTGCAGATGCAAGAGAAGACGGGCACGGTGAACATTGTTGGCTCCCAGATGTGGAAAGGCCATCCCATGATTCTTGGCACTTCACAGCTGCCTCACCTGCTCCTCCCCCCTCCCTGGCACTGCAGTTTTCAGTCTCTGTCTAGAGAAAAAGCATAACTCTATAGCACTTGCCTGAGATGATGCGAAGGGCAGTTTGGGTTAGGAGTTGTTGTGGTGGTGGTGGTGGTGACGTATGCCCTGAAGGTTTCAACTCCAGGCTCAGGCCTGCTTTGAGAAGTGATAGGTCCTCTGAGACAGTGCTGGGGTGATCTCCCCCCACCCATGCTTCAAATGATTCCCCTTTCACACACAAGTTTTGTGAGTGGGTGAGCACTCTTGATAATTCTTGGCTTCCCCCCCCCCCATTCCAATGTTTCCACATGCATTCTGCCAGGACAGCAATTACCTGGGGGGGGGGGGGGACAAAATCCCTGGAGAAGCCCTGGGTTTCTGTTCCTGGGTTGTAAAGTTTTAACTGGGGATGGGGGGGAGAGAAGTGCAAAAGTTATGTGAGGACAACTGTGGGGAGGCAGATGCCAGGCGCCAGTTCTGCAATTGTCGCACTTTCTCTGCCTTGTTAGACAGCTTCTCCGTGAAGCAGCAAGATAGCTGGCAGAAGCACGGGCAGGTGTGAAAACACTCACTTCAGTCTGTGGTCTCAAGCTTAAGAAGCAAAATAGGTGCAGAACTGAAACAAAATAGGTGCAGAGAATTGAAAGAATTTTGAGGCTATGTGGGCTGTGCAGACGTATTGTTCGGTCTCACAAATAGGACATTATTATTATTTTTTAAAATCATGCCTTGCTGACACACAGTCATTTGTGGGGTCAGGGCCTCCCCTGTTGATTTCCCTGCATGTTTGTTTGAAGACGGGTTTTTGCTGCCATCGGAGGCCAGTTTTGCCCAAACAAGTTTCAGAAGTTGTTTACCCCTTAATTGCTTTTAGCCTTTTAATTAGTTTTGTACCCGCAGAGAGTAGCTGTGTTGAAAAGCAAATCAAAGGGCAGAAATGCAGAATAGAACGCTCCTTATCTTGTACTCTGTTCAAGTCCCACAGAGGCTGTGAGAGCTATTCCTCCGTCAAATGGTGAACTCGCTGTCCCCCACTCCTGTGCAGGTGAGGAAAGCAGCACATTCAGGTCACCTAGAGGTAAGATTGAGGTCTCTGCCTTCTTGGAGGACTCCATGGTTTTGGAGAAAAATATTACTTCGTAAATTAACCCAAAGAAGGGGAAAACCTGCTGGTGAGCACTGAGCATGCTCTAGAAAGGATGGCTCTCTGAGAACACTTGAGAGTCAAAGCATATAAAGAAAGGAAGGAGGGAAGAATGCTCTCGAAGTTTAGAACACTGGAAGGGGTGTGTGTGGATTTTAAGGAATGAGGCTGAATTTCCAAATTGCTTCTCCCACCATGATTCCACGTTGTCGCTATATCGAATAGAAGAGAATATCTTCTCTGCCAATTGTGAAGGTGTATGAAAAATAAGCCCTGCTGGGTCAGACCAGTGGTCCATCTAGTCCACCATCCTGTCCCGCATGGCAGCCAACCAGCTGCCTCGGAGAGCCAACAAATGGCAAAAAGGCCAAGGCCCCTCCCCTGATGTTGCCCCCTAACACTGGGTTTCAGTGGTTTAGTGCCTCTGAATATGGACGTTCCCTTTGCTCACCACTGATGGACCTCTCCCCCATGAAATCTATTTATTTAAATAAATATTTAAGCCCCTTTAAAGGTATCTGTGTCCATAACCATTGCTACATCCACTGGCGGCAAATTCTCCAGTTTAATTACTCATTGAGTAAAAAAACCTATTTCCTTCTGACTGTCCTCTGCCTATTACCCATCAGTTTCATTGGGTGCCCTCAAGCTGTGAAGAGGTGAGCCCGCTCTATCCACTTTCTCCACCCTACGCATTATTTCATAAATTTCTATCCTATCCCACCCCCCTTTGCCATCTCTTTTCCAAACCAAAAAGCTTTTATAGGAAAAGTGCTGCATCCCCCTTAGAGCAGCAAAACTCCATCTTACTCATGGGTGGCCTGCGTCTCTAGAAACTCAACAGATGTGTAGGTGTGCAGCAAAACTACATCTGTAAATTAGTTTTAACATGGAAGAAATACAAAAGAATCTCCCTCTTTGGAAAGAACCGCCTTTTGCAATCTATCTGGGTACATTCTCTGCACGCACCTGCTTACAAAACACCATTTGCCAAGCTATGGTGTTTTGTTTTCTGTGGTTGCTGAAGCAGTCCTCTTTACATGTGCACGCTTTACAAATTGCTGTGGACTGCAGTAAGAGAGCCATCTGCTGGCGTAGCTGGGGAGCTGCAGTTTGCTCACAGGGTTTTCTTGGGCTTGGAGAGGAGAATCATGAGTCAGGCCCAACCATTAAGAAACCTCAGATGCTCTGGAACCCGTTCCCTGTTGGTTGGGTGTATTTTAAAAGTCATGGCGCTGGCAGGCCCACTGCGATGTCCCCAGAGGACCCCTTTTTGCAGAACCCACTGTTTCTGATCCTTTCACAGGGCAGGTAACATCAGTCAAAGAGGTGGGCTGCATAGGCTGGCAGTGGTCCTGTGTGGCTTGGGGTTGTCCGGCCATTGGAGGGGGGGGGGTCCTTGGTGAAGCAAAATGGTAGATCCATTGGAAGGTGCTGTCCTCTGCCCTCTGTTCAGGCCAAAACTAGGAGGGGTGCTCCCGGCTTCTCTGGTCTTAAAAAATGGGGCTCTGCAGACAAAATGTCTGAGCCTTTCTTAAAGATGCAAAGCTTATCCAGCATTTTGCTCGCCTTGGTAACTGGAGATGCCAGGGACTGAAATCTGGGACCTTCTTGATGCAAAACACAGGATCTTTTAGTTGCAACCCTTCCCTTGAGTGGGGGACCCGCCCGTCTCTTGGTGTTCCCTGTTAATGGGTGCTGGGGGGTAGAGAATAAAATGGAGACTGTTGTAAGCCTTGCTGGAGGTATGGGTATAAATGAAGGTGTTCTATCATAGTTCTTTCCTGAGTGAGAGCCAGCATGGTGTAATGGTTAAGAGTGACAGACTCTACTCTGGAGCACCGGGTTCAATTCTGCACTCCTCCACATGAAGCCAGCTGGGTGACCTTGGGTCAGTCACAGCTCTTTCAGAGCTCTCTCAGCCCCAAAATAAGTCTAACTCGCCACTAAAATAGCTAGACCTTAAGGCTGCCAGACAGTCTTAGGATCTCCTGACTATACTACATACAATGCCATACGATTATTATTATTATGCTTTTCTGAGTGGCAACTGTTGCATGTAAGAAGAACCCTGCTGGGTCAGATCAAAATGAGACCTTTAAGGCCCTAAGTGGCTTGGAGTCACTGTATGAGCTTGTCTTGTCCCTGGTGGTGGAAAGTGTTGTCAAGTCGCAGCTGACTTTTGGCCACCCTTGCTGGGTTTTCAGGGCAAGAGACAAACAGAGGTGGTTTGCCATTGCCTGCCTCTGCACAGGGACTCTGGACTTCCCTGGTGGTCTCCCATCCAAGTACTGACCAGGGCCAGCCCTGCTTAGCTTCTGAGTTTTTATGAGATAGGGCTAGCCTACACCTGGGCTGTCCAGGTCAGGGCATGCTATATCTACCTTGGTGCTTATAAGTGACAGTGATACTGACAATGGACAGGGTCCTCTCCATCGTGGTCCCCTCCCCAACGTCCAGTCTTCTGAGATTTGGATGCCAGGCTGAAACATATTATTTTGCCCGGGCCCAGTGGTTTGTTTGGTTGTGTTTGTGGGTTTTTTTGGCATTCTGTGTGTGTTTATTCCTCTTCTGGATTTTATGTTTGTAATTTTTATTGTTGGGGATACTGCTTAGACTTGCTGTTATTGTAAGACTATTTTGGGATGTTATCACTGTGGCTATTAGGTACTTGCCCCACCAAGTGTCTGGAGATTTCTGCTGGTTTATTAATTGCTAGGGATTGCCTTGATTGTTTTTTATAAGTGTGTATGTTTTTATTGATTTAACTGAGTATGTTACTGACATGCACTTCCTGAACCAGTGTGCTTAAAATAGCTAAACAGATAAAGGGGATCCATCACATTCAGCAACCTGCTTTCCGCAGGTGCCAGTTAAGTGCTCCCAGGAACCCTTAAAGCAAGACATGAAAATGATTATGACCTCCCCTTTTCTTTCTCATAGCCTCTGGAGTGCAGAGGAAGACTGCCTCTGGACATGGAGGCTCTACTTTCCTATCATAACTGCTGCTGCTGTACCCATCCTCCAAGAATTTGTCCAATTGCCCCTTTAACGCCATCTAAGCCTGTAACTGTTGTCCCATCGCGAGGCAGCAGATCCTGTAGGTTTAAAATATAATTTGTTGAGGTCATAAGAACATAAGAGACACCAATGTTGGATCAGGTCAAAGGCCCATCCCGTCCAACACTCTGTGTCACACAGTGGCCAGAAATACCAGGTGCCATCAGGAGGTCCACCAGTGGGGCCAGGACATTAGAAGCCCTCCCACTGTTGACCCCCCCCCCAACACCAAGAAGACAGAGCATCACTTGCCCCAGAGTCCCTATCTATACCTTGTGGCTAATAGCCACTGATGGACCTCTGCTCCATATGCCTATCTAATTCCCTTTTGACGCCGTCCATGCTTGTAGCCGCCACCACCTCCTGTGGCAGTGAATTCCATGTGTTAATCACTCTTTGGGTGAAGAAGTGCTTCCTTTTATCCATTCTAACCCGACCGCTCAGCAGTTTTATGGAGTGCCCACGAGTTCTTGTATTGTGAGATCAAGTGAGAGTGTTGATTTCTTGTAAACTGTAGCTGTTTCTTTTGTTTCCGTTTTAGGAAAGAAAGCATCAGCTGCACAAGGGAAAGCAGATCCCAGGTTCTTTGCCATCTACCTAACAGGTAAGCCTGGAGGAATGGTAGGTTGCTGCATTCCCCCCACTCCCACCCCGGGGGTGAGGCAGTGCCCCGAGCAGCCCCTGAGAGGGATAACTCCTGGGGTAACTGTTTCTCTGGGCATCCTGCGTGTGTTGGGTAGCGAGATCCTAGAGGAAGCTGACTGGCAGCGTGAAGGGCATCAGAAGGTGATGCTCAGTGGGTTTGTATGTGCATGGGGTGGGGGTGGGAATCTTATAAAAACAGCCTTGAGGGTACTACAGACTTTCTGTGAAGATGGAAGGGTGAGTGGAACCTGACTGCAGACTGCAAAGGTGGATGTTACAATGCAGAACCTTTTCACTTTGACTGGTGTGGGAGGACTGTCCCTTTGTTTAAATATCCTGATCTAAAGGCCCCTGGCAAAAGCAAGAAGGCCAGTGCCGTACTTGCAGAGGAACTAGTTTGAGTATTTAGGTGTGGGGGCACATGAGGATCACAACGATGGTGCTTGGTGTGTATTTCCCTGTTGCTGAGTATGGTCCCTCCTCTGCAGCAGGAGAGGTTTTGCTCACCTGCTGGAGCTTGTAACGGCATGTTTCTCTAAGTGGTCCTCAGTCACTGGGTCGTGATAGCTTGTCTGTTTTACACGGGTTCCTCTTTTTATTTATTTATCTATCTTTGCATTCATACCCTGCCCTCCCCGAAGGCTCAGGGCGGCTCACAAGGGGCACGAATGCCCAAGTTAAAGCATTAAAACAATACAGAATAATATAAAATACAATGAATACAATTAACTAAATTTACTTTACGGTGCTCCAAAATTATTTAACTATAAAAGTTCAAGATGGGATTCTAAAATGATTAGCAACAAACAACAGTAATAATAAATATAGCAGCAACAATATACGTCCATATGGCGTTGACCTCTGCCAGGCACGTCTTGCACCCCCAGTAGTCCCGGCTCTGAAGATGGTCAATTTGCAGGACTAATGAGGGGGGCGTAGATAGAATGATGGTGACGATGGTGACATAATGATGATGGCATAATGATGGTAGTGGCGGCGGCTCCTACTCAAAAGCCTGGCAGAAGAGTTCCGTTTTACAGGCCCTGCGGAACTGCACCAAGTCCCGCAGGGCCTGGATCTCTTCTGGGAGCTCATTCCACCAGGTAGGAGCCGCCACCGAGAATGCCCTAGCCCTGGTAACCACAAATTTGGTGTTTCTGGGGCCTGGAATGTCCAGGAGATTTTGATTCCCTGACCGTAGTGCCCTTGGGGGAACATGCGGGGAGAGGCGGTCCCTAAGGTAAGCCGGACCCTGACCATGGTATCCAGGAAGGGAATTTCATGTCAAACCGTCCTGTTGAATAAGTTTGCTGCTTCCAATTAATTGTTAAATCTTTTGCTTCTTGTCTCCTAACCCCCCTCCCCCCAATTCATAATCCTTCCTTCTCCTGTGTATTGGTTATTTTGTAAATGCACTTGGTGGAACCTAACCCCCCCCCCCCGGACTTCTCCGAATGGTTTAGGCGCGGGGAACCACCTTGGAGGGGCTGTGCCCACAGCATAGCTTCATGCATCCTCCTGAAGAGATGGGGGGAAATTTCTTATTTTAATGTAGGCTGGTAATGGATAGGATGGCTCTTCACATGGATGACCCCTCTGCATGTGATGAATAAAAGAAAATGAAATGCAAACAAAAGCTAACTGCCACCCCGCAGCCCCTGGTTCTCTTTTGGTTTGCTTCGCCTGCAAGCTGAGATGCCTTTTTCATTGCCTCAGTTTTTTCTCTTGCAATCCTACGCCTTCTTATGAAGGACTAAGAAGGACTTCATTCTGAGTAAATTTGATCTTTTTTGCGTCAAGTCATAGCTGACTTATGGTGACCCCTGGTGGGGTTTCAAGGAAAGAGACATTCAGAGGTGGTCTGCCTCTGTGTAGTGACTCTGGTATTTCTTGGTGGTCTCTTATCCAAATAAAGGCCAAGGCCGACCCTGCTTAGCTTCTGAGATCTGACAAGATTGGGCTAGCCTGGGCTATCCAGGTCAGGGCAAAATGTGGTTTAAGATTTCATTATTTAAGTGTTGCGTGTCATCCCCCCCACCCCAATGATTTCTAACTTGGTGAGAGCAGCTCTCAAACCAGCACCAGTCTAAATCCAAGCAGGGCTGGCTGCTATTGAGTTCCAGCCTTACGTTTTATGAATGCAATTCATAAAGCGGATGAGTTAAGGTTTTTAATTCAGAAGGCAGTATCAGACCCAGAGGTTGTGCTGAACCAGCTTGCTAAGTACCAGGTAACTCTTGAGACCGACCCTGGACTGGCTGACTGTTACCTGCATTCTGCTGTGTTCGTTTATGAGCAAAGCTGAGCGGCCGTGGTCCTGTGACGTAGAGTGCCTGCTTTGCCTACAGAAGGTCCCTGGTTCAATCTCTGGCACCTTCAGCTAAAAGATATCTCATTAAAGTTTTCTGTGTCTGAGGCACTGCTGGGCTTGGTGGTCCAAAGTCCTGAGTATATAAGGCAGCATCATATCTTTAAAATGCTCTCAAACCGCAGTTTTGGGGTGCTGGGCAAGCCAGGTTGAAGCCATGTAAGGTGCCCTCTTTGCTGTCTGTAGCATCCGTGACAATGAAATGTGAACCACACTTCTTAACTTGCATCTTAAAAGTACATGTTTTGGTTCTGTCCCTCTGACTCATAAGATTTCCAGTTAGAGGAAAGCAAGATGTCTGCTAGCATCTTAATCCATTCTGAAGACCGTAATGCGTTTATGGAATGACTCCCCACCCCCCCAGACTCCCAAGGGAGTTATAGCTGTTTGCTGTATTATGTCCTCTCGAAAACAGCCTTGATGTGAAATCTTGAACATTAACACAGAGTGGAGTGAGAACTTTGTGCGCTTCTCACCACAATACGTTTGGTGAGAGACAGTTTGGTGTAGTGGTTAGGAGCACGGACTCTAATCTGGGAGAGCGGGGTTTGATTCCCCACTCCTCTGCATGCAGCTGCTGGTGTGGCCTTGGGTCAGTTACAGTTTCTCTCAGAGCTGTTTTCTCAGGAGCAGTCCTTGAAAGAGCTTGCAGCCCCACCTACCTCACAGGGTGACCGTTGTGGGGAGGGGAAGGGAAAGGAGATTGTAAGCCGCTCTGAGACTCCTTCGGGCAGTGAGGGGTGGGGTATAAATCCAATTTCTCCTCCTCCTTCTCCTCTTCTCCTCATGGCTGGAAACCATGAGTGGGTTTCCAGTCCTGGGTATCAAACGTAAACTGACATCCGCAGACTTGGACCTTGCTATGTAAATGAACCAACCTTTCATTTAAAAAAAAAATTAAAATTCTGCGTGAGCGAACTTACTAAGTCTGTTCTCTTGTGGGAATCATTCACCAGGAAGATAATTTCAGAGGGCAGCCGTGCTGGTCTGCAGTAAAACAGCTGGATTGGAGTCCAGTAACCCCTTAGGGAGCAGCAAGGTCTTTGGAGTACGATCTTTCACGAGTCAAAGCTCATGACAAAGGGAGCTTTTGACGCTTGAAAGCTTAACCCCCCCCCAAAAAAAATCTTGTTGGTCTTGAAGCTGCTGCTAGACATGAATCTAATTGATCAGCTAGGAAGATGACTACTTCCCTTCATTCTTCGTGTGTGTGTGTAAAGTGCTGTCAAATTGCTTCCAGCTTCTGGCAGCCCAATGAATGAACGACCTCCCAAATGCCCCGTTGTTAACAGCCTTGCTCACATCGTGCGGACTGCTTCCTTTATGGAGTCTGTCTTTCTGCTTACTAGCCCCGATTTCCCCAGCAACTCTCACAGTGTGCAAACATCTCATATAAGTTCTTGGATAATGCACAAGGGACATTCAAGCCATATCCCGAAGGCAGAGAAGCTGTTGTATGCAGGCAAAGCCGTAAGGCTTTTCCGCAAGGACACGTTATATTTCCTTACTTCACAAAGACCATTTCGCCTCAGCCTCTTTCTAGGTTGTGGCTGTGCCCTGAACTCCCTTCCCCTCTCCAAAGACTAAACTCTGCTGGGTGTTCTGTCCCTTGCAGACCTGATGCAATGTCATGTCGGTTTCTCAGCGACAGGATCTTGCACCATGAAGAAGCACTGAAAAGAGAACATTGAGGTGACGTACCTTTGTCAATGACAGTGCCTGGTGATTTTGTCCAAGAGGCGATTCCGGGGTTTTGTCTTCTCTTAAACTTCAGTTATATCCCGAACACTAGGAAGGTGACTAAGCCGTAGGCCGAGTGAGCTAATTCTGAGGACAGCTGAGCCATATAGGTTGAGCTCATTCTGAGGACATCCAATTGTAAATGCTCTGCGGGGAAACCAGTGCTCTCTTGCTCAGGTGCAGGCTGTTTTAATGAGGAAATCTATTAATACATGGGTCTCAGGTGTCCACTCTCAGAACTCTAGTGAAAGCTAGGCGGTTAACGATTTGCCACAAGAGGGCAGCATGTATCCACGTATGGTTTTGTCAAAATGCTACTTACCCTGCCCTATTGGACACTTCCCCCCCCCCAAAAAAATAATGAACTTCATTAGGTTTGTAGCCAATATGTAGGTAGACATGCTAGAAGTGGTAATGAAGAAGTTATTCTGTTTATTTTCTTTCTCACTCCCTCCTCAAGTCACATTGAGTTCTCAAGGCAAGAGATGTTCAGAGGTGGTTTGCCATTGCCTGCCTCTGCATAGCAACCCTAGACTGCCAAATACTGGCCAGGGCTGACTCTGCTTAGCTTCTGAGATCTGACGAGATTGGGCTATCCTGGGCCATCTAGGACAGGGGAGAAAGGTAGTCGTCGTCTACTACTACTACTACTACTACTAGTTGTTGTTGTTATTTTGAATTCAGTCATCATTACTATCTAGGTCAGGTCATTTTCATTTTAGGGACAGGAAATAAAGCATCCCACTGTGAAGATGCCAACTAGGGAAGCTTTTGAGTTCAAATCCTGTATAACCCTGGACTGCCTGGATAGCTGTGGTCTCTCTGCATCTCACATCTCACTGTCTCTCACC